GCGACGCCGTCACCATGGTAACGAGGGAGGCAGACGACAGGGCAAGGCTGCAGGGCAAGCTGTTCACGTAGCGACGCCGTCGCCACGGTAACGAGGGAGGCAGACGACAGGGCAAGGCTGCAGGGCAAGCTGTTCACGTAGCGATGCCGTCGCCACGGTAACGAGGGAGGCAGACGACAGGGTAGGCTGCAGCGCAAGCTGTTCATGTAGCGACGCCGTCACCATGGTAACGAGGGAGGCAGACGACAGGGTAGGCTGCAGCGCAAGCTGTTCACGTAGCGACGCCGTCACCATGGTAACGAGGGAGGCAGACGACAGGGCAAGGCTGCAAGGCAAGCTGTTCACGTAGCGACGCCATCACCACGGTAACGAGGGAAGCAGACGACAAGGCCACTGTGTGCAATGCAAGCTTTTCACGTAGCGACGCCATCGCCACGGTAACGAGATCACATCCTCGTCCAACGAGAGACGAAAGGATCGCGTCCGTGAGGGGGGCAGACGGAAGAATGCCTCGTGCCGTTGCTGTCAATTCTCGATTAACTTTGACGAAGAAGCCTCGTTCAGTGTGTCATCTGTCACTTCTCTGCCGGAGAGGAGGGGTAGCTGAGCAATGGCTACCCTCTCCCATTCACCGCTCCCAGACCATGTTCACCTGCAGCCACTATGCAGCCAATGTTATACACTCGGAGTGTAGGGAGTGACTCCCTAGACACAATCAGGCTTGCACCGCGCACATCGTTGAAGCGTACTGGGTGATGCCGTGATCACGAGTGAACGCATTCATTCCACGATAGCACTGCTTTCGCACTGGTCTCTCGTGTCGCCGACGCTTCACTCAGCATATGCAAACGTCAGGAGCATATCTCCTAACCTACTAAACACCGTTTTACGTTAGACGAGGTACGCGTATTTTTTCGTACGTACGTCGCGTACGTTTTAGCCGGTCTATCGCAATGCTGCGCTTGGGTGTTATAGCGGTGTTAATGTATGCAGTTTTAGATTGGTGAAGCCATGGATATCTATGTAGTGCAGTGCGTTATATTATGTTATTGTATATGATGGATGGCTATGGATGAATCCGTCCCTCCGTGTAGTCGCCGGGGGGCTGTTGTCAGAAAGAACACTACATTTAGTAGTAATTACAGCATCATGTCTAAAATGTCATATTGTTTAAAGTGAAACGTACTGTGTGAAAGTTACGATATTATAGACTTTTGATGGTCATTGCTGTAGTACTGTCATGACTGTTTATGTTTCTGACAATGCCGGTGGTGTTTGTCAGGAAACGCGAAAGCACCCGTGTACAGTTAGTTGTATGCACCTACATGAAGTATAGTACTTGTATTGTTGTCAGTAAGGCTCATATGGTCTATGTCCCCCAGGGTACTATCGGAGGGTACCCTGGGTACGGTTCGATATATCGGAAAGTACCTAGGGGTACTATACGATATGTCGCTGCGTACCCTGCATTGTCCCACCGTACCCTGACTTTCAGCCAACTGATGTCGTAATTATACATACACTCCGTCAAGTTACCACATCACATAGAAGAAACCTCAAAACATCGCAATCCAATAAAAATGTATGCTATGTTTGACTATATTTTTCTTTTTCCTTTTTTTTAAACGAAGAGCTAGCTATTTTAGTTTTACAACATCGGAAATATGTCCATATAAAGTCAGGGTACGGTGGGACAATGCAGGGTACGCAGCGACATATCGTATAGTACCCCGAGGTACTTTCCGATATATCTAACCGTATTTAGGGTACCCTCCGATAGTACCCTGGGGGACATAGACCCTATCAGCATCAGTAAGGTATCGTTATCGTACACGGTAACACGTACTAAACACCTCTTGGTTTGTTAGGTATTATTCATGTTACTAGAGTTACTCAGTGTTGCTTTTGCTGCTGCTGCTGTTGTTGTTGTTGTTGTTGTTGCTGCTGCTGTTGTAGCTGTTGTATACAGATATAAGTATTGAATATTGCATGTTATTTAATGTATTCGTGATAAGAATAATTGATAAGATGTATCGTATGTTTAATAAAACATTCTCGAAAACACTACTTTTATTATTGCAATTGTGCTAGTTAATATTTTATGAATACTGATCCCCACAGCCCTTGAAAGTCCTTGAATTTTGTGCTTTGTCCTTGAAAGTCCTTAATTTTTTCTTTTGTCATTGAAAGTCTTTGGAAATAGGTCCAAGTCCTTATTTAATGTCAATTGTAATGGAATTTACATTTTTGATCTAAAATAAAAAGCACATGCATCTTCATTGCTGGTTATCTGACCCTATTCCAAGTCTTCGATAGAAATAGTTACGAACCCTGCCCATGCCACCCATGACTAAAAAGAGGGAAACAAACTAGTTTTAGCAGATACTGTTCTGTGAATTTGGGATTAAATTTAATATTATTTGTTATTATTTGTAAAGACTTGGGACAAGGAGCATATGGCCCTTAATGGTTTCTTCCATGGATTGGAGGCTGAAGAAGAGATCTAGAATCTTTAATTTCACCAGCTCGGCAAGTACTATTAGCAAGAAATTTATAGAGAAAGAATTGCTCTCATTGAATTAGGGTGTAAAACAACTATTTTTTTACTTTATATAACTAAGGTATATATGATGACTCTAAAATGCTAAAATTACTTGTCACAGATTGTCCTTGAAAAATCACATGTTCTTGAAATGTCCTTAAAGTATTTGAAAAAATAATTCACACTTGTGGGAAACGTGCACCGAGTAGGGCCTACCTAGCAGTAATGTACCGCATAGAATCCAACCATCATGAAAAAACACATGTCCTTGAAATGTCCTTGAAGTATTTGAAAAAATAATTCACTTGTGGGGAACATGCACCGAGTAGGCCTACCTAGCAGTAATGTACCGCATAGAATCAACCATCACGAAAAACCAAGAAAATACCTTTTCTTTCAATATCTGGTATTTTATCTATTTCTATATATCTATATCTGATATGTCTATCTATTTATAATTTGCCTGGCATGTCGGTGTGTAGCTGGTGGTGTCGTACCCCATCGTGGCGAAGCAGCTACGTGACATCATCGCAGGGAGGCAGCCACAGGAGCACCGCACGCACTGCTGCGGCATGATGGCACTGCAGCAGATGGGCCTTGGACACGCCGACCTTGAACAGATGCTAAAGGAACCAGAGGATCTAGACTTCATCTTCGGTTATAATTATTTAGATTATAGCTATTTTTGATTTCGTTTTTCATTAATTGATTTTTTAAGTTAATTTTTTATTAATTTATTATTGTTAATTTATGATTATAATAATAAGATTATTATAAGATTAATTGTCTCTCAAAGGCATCGAGAATTAAATCCCTCGGTCAAGAAATCGGGTCTCGTGCGTATAACAATAAATATATATACTATTAGGACATAATATATATAATATATATAGACATATATATATTATATATATAATATATATAGACATAATATATATACTATATATATTATAAAGACTAATTGTCTTTATTAACTCCTGATACTATATAATAATGATAATAATAATATAATGTATAACAGTAAGTAACCGCTGGTAAGCGTATAGTTAACGGACGAGTTTCTGTTGTTACGATGATGTGAGGCGGCAGATGAACGGCAAACTTGTGCTCTCATTTCTCTGAGATTTGCAAAACATGATGTCAAAAAACGACGCCCGAACTGCAAGTGCGTCCGATTCTCTGGCGTGATTTTCTATGACCAGTACCCTATCTCTACATGTTCCCGGTTCCACAGACGTGGATTAACTCTTAACTCCGAGTTAAATTCCTTAACTCTGAGTTAAAAGTTAACTCGGAGTTAAATTCCGTTCCACAGTCGTGGAGTTAAATATGCCTAACTCTGAGTTAAAATTTAACTCTGGTATGAACCTAGATTAAACTCAACTCAGGGTTAAAAATCAAGTTCATCCACGTCTGTGGAACCGGGTCCAGGTAACAAAGCTTGGAGACATGGTACCGGTCGATGACAACTTGACGGCGCGCATGCCATTAGTGTAGATAATACATAAACTAAGTCGACTTTAAAATGTCGATCGGTCTGTATACTGTTTAAAATACAGACGCGCGAGTGTTCCGAAACACGTTCGCCTTGCACACTCGTTTTTACGCGCGGTCGAGTATCGGAGCGTATCGGTAGCATCCCGGGGCTCCCCCCCTCTCCCCCCGTGCTCACTCCTGCGCTTGTGTTTTGCAGAGGTGTGTAAGATCGACTATGCGGGCGACTACAGGAAGGATGCTTGGGCGATGGATGAGGAAGAGAAGCTGAGTCAGGTACCGGTGCTGCGTGATGAGGGTAACCGCCTGTACAAGGCCGGCGACATCGCAGGAGCCGCACAGAAGTACGGAGAGGCTCTCACCAACCTGGAACAACTGTGCCTCAGGTAGCAGAGAATAATATATATATATAGTACAGTTAATATATATATATCAGAAGTAGATAATAAGGAAGGAGTGTGACTTCAATAAACAAGGGAAATTCGTCATTTACTAGCCTTAGAATACCTACGATTTACTATGCGTAACTCAACCAACTTGAGCTCAACGTATCAGTGCTAAAACTAGGTGTGTGTGTTTCCGCGTCTTATTTAGTCATGGGTGCATGGGGGTCATGGTTCGTGAACTATTTGTCTTATCGAAAAATGCGAATAAGGTGTCAGGATAAGCCTAGGCAAATGAAGATGCATTGGTGCTGTTGTTATTTTAGATCAAAAAATGTAAATTCCATTAGCAATTGACTTGGACTTGGACCTGATTCCAATGACTCTTTAATGACAAAAGAAAAAAATTAAGCGATTTTCAAGGACAAAGCACAAAATTCAAGGACTTTCAAGGGCTGTGGGATCAAGTATTCATAAAATATTTAACTAGCACAAATTGCAATATATAAGAGTAGTGTTTTCGAGAATGAGGTGCTTTTAATTAACAGTGACGAATACATCTTTATCAATTAATTTTATTGCACGAATGACATTAAATAACATGCCAATATTCAAGTACTAGTAGTGCCTGTATACCACAGCATAGCAACAGCAGCAGGCAACAACAACCAACAGGCAGCAGCACAAGCCACTGAGTAACTCATGGTAACAGGATAATACTCAACAAACAAAGAGGTGTTTTAGTGAGCGTGTTACCATGTACGGATAACGATATCCTTAGAGAGACTAGAGATGCTGGATAGGGAGTCTGTCCCCCAGGGTACTATCGGAGGGTACCTGGATACGGAGTCAGAATACTCGGGAAAGTACCGGAAGGAGAGGAATCGGGGTAACCTAGAATCGAAGTATGGTCGCTGCAGTACGCGCTGGGGTGATTGTGCCACGAAAGCCCGTGACTTGTATATGGACGTATTTCCGATTTTTGTAAAACTAAAATAGCTAGCTCTTCGTGTTAAAAAAAAGAAAAATATATCAAGACATTTTTTATTGACTTGCAATGGTTTTGTGACGTTTCTTCGTATGAGTGAATGTGGTATAACTTACGGAGGTGTAGTGTATTAACGATCATCAGTTGGCTAAAAGTCAGGGTATGCAGCAACATAGTCGTTAGTTACGCCCCTAGTACTTTCGCGATAACACTCGAACCGTACCCAGGGTAAAAACCCATCGCGATAGACCCCCTGGGAGTCAAGACCCTATGAGGCCTTCACACTACTGACAACAATTTACAATTACTAGCACTTCCATGTAGGCATACAACTAACTGTACACGGGTGCTTTTCGCGTTTCCTGACTAAACATCCACGAGGCGTTGTGCAGAAACATACAACAGTTCATGACCAAGTACTATCAGCAATGACGCATCTAAAAGTCTATACACTATCGTAACTTTCACACAGTACGTTTCCAGCTTTAAAAACGATAATGACATTTTAGGACATGATCTGTAATGTGACTGACTAATGGTAGTGTATGGCTTCTGACGACAAACAGCCCCACCGGCGACTACACGGAGGGGACGGAGTTCATCCATAGCCATCCAATCAATATACACAATTAACATAATATACGCAGCTGAGCCACTACATAGATAATCCATGGCTTCACCATCTAAAGACTGCATACATTAACACCGCTATAACACCCAAAGCGTCAGCATGTGCGCGATAGACCGCTGCAAGAAACGGGACGCGACGTACGTACGGAAAAAGAATACGCGTACCTGCGTCTAACGTAAAAGCGGTTTTTTAGTAGGTTAGGAGCAGTACGCCTCCTGACGTTGCGATAATGCTGACAGTGAAACGTCGGCGAGCACGAGCGACCGAGTGCGAAACAGTGCTAGCGTGGAGATGAATGCGTTCGCTCGTGATCCACGGCATTCATCCAGTACGCTCAACGATGTTGCGCGGTGTCTAAGCCTGATGTGTCTAGGGAGTCTCACTCTACAACTCGTAACATTGCGCTGCATAGTGTGCTGCAGGTGAAGCATGCTGGGAGCGGTGAATGGGAAGAGGGTAGCCATTGGCTCAGCTACCGCCCTCCTCTCCGGCAGAGAAGTGAGATGGAACATGCACTGAACGAGGCTTTCTTCGTCAAAGTTAATCGAAGAATTGACAGGCAAACAGGCAGCGAGGGCCATTCTTGCCGTCTGCCCCCCTCACGGACAGCGATCCTTCGGTCTCATCGTTGGAGCGAGGATGTGATCGGTCCGTTAACCCGGAGTAGGCGATTGCGCGTCCGCTACGTGAACAGCTTGCCCCTGCTGTCACCAGTGGGTCGGCCTGGTCGTTCTTTGCTATCCGATCGGTTAGCCTCCTTCTGCCTGACGGGCGTGGTGTCGTGTAGCGTGACGTGGTAGGGAGTAGGTGTGCGCTGAGTGGATGGTGGTTGACGTGGGCGTCGCTACGTGGTATGAACGACTTCTGAGCCTTGCGAGCCCTTGCCGCTGTCGCTGCGCTTCCCTCGTTAACCCTGAATGCGTGTGGACGGCGGGCAGTGGTAGAGGTGACTACATTGGCTGGCTATGGCGAGCACTGCGGTGGAGGGTACTACTAAGTCTTGATGACAGTGCTTATGCTGCTGCAGGCCGTATCCGCGTGATCGTCTCGGCCTCGGCTGCTGTTTATGCGTGGACAGGCGACAGTGATTGGATCGCCAAGCTACCTAGGGGATTAGAGCAGGGGTGGCAGTAGCGTGGCATTCTCGCTGGGACGCTTGTAAAGTCTCGCTTTGCCTACGGCTGCGACAGCTAGCTGGGTTGGAGAGAGGTATATTGGGGCCTTGCCCACTGTCGTGCCTCCCTCGTTACTTTACCGGTGGCGACGGCACTCGCTACTGTGAACAGCTTTGCCCCTGCAGCCTTGCCGCTGTTCGTTCTGCCTCCCCTCGTTTACCTTTGTGTTTTGCGACCTGCTATCGCTTAATCGTGTAACTAGCTTGTTCGCCTTGCAGGCTTGCCTCTGTCGTTCTGCCCCCTCGGTTACCATTCCTGGGCGACGGCGTCACTGACGTTGAACAGGCTTTGCTCCTGCTAGCCTGCCGCCTGTTTCCGCCTCCTCGTTATCCCGGTGCGGCGGCGTCCGCTACGTGAACAGCCGTGTGCCCTGTCAAGCGCTTGCCCCTGTCGTCTTGGGCAGTCTATCTGCTTCTGCGAGGGAGTCGAGAGCGGTGAGTTCTCGCTCGACGGTGCGGGACATCGCCGGGTCGAGAGTGGCGACGCGTGAGAAGTCGTCTCGCCACCTCGCGGGGGGTTCCACGCGGCGACGTGCGCCCGCGCTCGCCTGTACAGCGCCTTCACGTTGTCTGTAACGACAACGGTCGCGCCACGCGCAGCGCAGCTCCTGGAGGTTTTAATCACTTAAGTATTAAAATTAATGTGCACACAGACGGTTACGCCCGTGTTAATCATGTCAGTGATAACATATATGCTCACACAGACGGTACCCAGGGGTTGTTAATCATGTAGTATTAAATATATGTCACACAGACGGTTACGCCCGGGGTTGTTAATCATGTAGTATTAAATATATGTCACACAGACGGTTACGCCCGGGGTTATCATGTAGTATTAAATATATGCACACAGACAGGTCTACGACCGGCGGGGTTGTTTAATCATGACGTAGTATTAAATATATGTCACACAGACGGTTACGCCCGGGGTTGTTAATCATGTAGTATTAAATATATGTCACACAGACGGTTACGCCCGGGGTTGTTAATCATGTAGTATTAAATATATGTCACAAGCGGTTACGCCCAGGGTTGTTAATCATGTAGTATTAAATATAATTGTCACAGTCAGATGGTTCACGGGCCCGGGATTGTTTAAGATCATGTGTATTAAATGATATGTCACACAGACGGTTACGGCCCGGGGGGTGTTAATCATGGTAAGTATCAAATTATATGTCACACAGACTGTTACGCGCCAGGGTTGCTAATCATTAGTACTGTAAATATATGTCACACAGACGGTTACGCCCAGGGTTGTTAATCATGTAGTATTAAATATATGTCACACAGACGGTTACGCGCGAGATTGTAAATTAAATAATACAGAAATAAATATCGTACAGACGGTTATGCGTGGGATTGTTAATTAAATAATATTAAATAAACGTCGCACAGATGCAAAACTGTGGGCGGCATCACTGCCGAGTGTACGCGGTCACGCGCAGGGGGAGGGGCGTTAACGCTGTTAACCTCACGGCACGTGTTAAAGAAAATCTCAGAAACAAATCGCAGCCCACCCATATTAAACGGGCTGTTAATCGTACATAGTTATATGTTTTAATGAGTTCCTCATCAAGATCGTTGGGCGTTCGGCAAATATAATTAAAAAAAATAATAAATATAATCACGGGGGTTACCCCAAGCATCCGCGATTCCACGGCGCTGTGCATTCCCATCGCACAGTTGGGGGGCGGGGGGGAGGGAGGTCGCGTCTGCTGCGACGTTCATTAAATATGATTTAATTAACGAGATATTTGTAAATTAGAGACGGTGATGTGGCGACGGCACACGCACGCACGCACCGCGCACACGGCAGCGCGGGCGCACTGCACGCACATCATCGGATGTTCGGCGGACCAGAACAATCTTACCGGATCTTCTGGGCAGCACGGTGCGTCCCGTGTGTTTCGATGACGGGAATAGTAATGTCCTTCTGTTAGCAGCCGACCACTGAGAAACAGTTGAGCAAGTGGCAGCGGAATCTTCTGCCGATCCAACACCAGGTATTCCTCGTCGCCCGGTTTCTCCCTGCATCAAGGAGGGAGGCGGGAAGAAGCGTTCGTTATGCTGCGAGCTACAGTGCTGCCATGTATGCTCAAATGCTGCTGTATGAGTTTTGACGACGACGTTGTTTACAATGCACCCTGGAACTTGTTCTGTCTCTCATTCGCTCGCTCTTTCACGTCCTGTTTGTCTGTCTCCTCTCTCTCTCCCCCCCCCCTCCTCCCCTCTCTCCATCTCCACACCCCACCCCACTCTTCTCTCTCTCTCTCTTCTTCATTGTGTATCGTGCGTGTTTGTTGGATTTATTTATTTATTCTTATCACATATAACTGTTTCTTCATACGAACATTACCAACATACAAGTATAGTTATAGCGCTTTCACAGAATATATATACTAATATTGAACAATATATAATATGGCTAATAATCCAGTGGTAGAAATTAAGTTTTGACTCGCGCTCAAAAACAGGGAGATCACAGCAAAAATGAGGAGTACGTAGTCTGAAGTTCAAAATAAAGATTTTGCTGGAAAAATATAGCGGATCAATTCCCGCCGAGGGCCGGGCTCTGGAATGAACTAGTTAGGTATAGCAGAATTTTCAGGGAGTCACCGCCCAGCACTCCTTGCATAGTGTCAAGTCAGGGGAGTCCGGAGCAGTGAATCTAGAGAAGTATTTGATCCGGCAGACTCGCATTAAATGTTGGGGGGTGGAATAATGAAAAATTGTCATTCGTCAATAAAGACAATTTTTTCATTATTCCACCATGATATATATATGCGTATATTCTAACTATCAGATAATTGATATAACTATGTTAATCTAGTACGAGAGGATCAGAGTAGGGACTGACTACGGCTGCGCTCTACTGATACGTAAGTATAGTGAATGTCTGCGTTATCTTTGCAGAGGAGAAGATTAGGGATAATAGCGTGGGAAGGGCGAGCTGTGAGACTTCAATAAACAAAGGGAAAATCGTCATTTACTAGCCCTTAGATAATACCTACGATTTACTATGCGTGAACTCAACTCAACTAGCCTGCAAATTCGTACACAAGTACATTCGCCTAACATCGGCGAAATCGTTTCCTCAGATACAGCCGCAATCCCGGAGATACACGACTAAAACGGTACAGACACGATTCTCCATTCTGTGCCAGCAAACCGAATGTACTTTAAACAAAAGCAGTCTACTAATCGACTCTTGCGCCCTCGCGAATGCGGTGTGGCTCGCTGGGTAGATTGGATATCGACGCAACACTGGCGCGACAAATGCTTTGACCCTATTTACAGGCTTCCTTTATATTTGCTTGGATTGCGCGATTAGACGGGGTGTGATATCGGAGGAAATTGATTTCGCACGATGCTAGGGGCGAATGTATATCTGTGTACGG